GCCCTGTCTGTGATCTTGGAGAAATTGAAGATGAGAAACATTTCCCTTTCACGTGCCAGCTATATGATAAAGAAAGAACCAGCCTTTTTACTAAACATAAAATGTATGTAGAGAGAGACATTAATAAACATATTAAATAATTAAAACGATCACATAATTAAAGACGTTTCAAAACACATTTATACTTGCTTTATGCTCAGGGAGCAAAAAAATCAAACAATAATTTCAGTACCATCTGCCTCAAAAAAAAAAAAAAAAAAAAAAACCCACAAAACACAGATTCACATTTATTTACATTATATTACAATTATTCATTTATCTCTTATTGTGAGATATGTATTTATTTCATTCATTTACAGTATTTTTAGTATTTCCTTTTATTTTCATTTTTTTTTTTTATTATTACATGTTTTTGACTTTATTGTATTTTATGTCAAGATCTCAAATGGGATACGATAGCAATAAAGAATTACTTACTTTCTCACAATACCTCTTCCCCTCTTGAATAACTCCGTGAAACAAATCGGACAATAATTCCATGTTGGCATTGTAAAGCAGGGAATCCGTATTAGCCGGAAATCAGGGAAAACATAGTATTTAAAAAAAAATGAAATGAACAGGCTATGGTACACACTGTCACCGTGAATCCTTGCTTTCTGAAAACGAGGCTTGAACCAATCTGAATAGGAAACTAATTGTCTTTGATAAACATCAGCTGTTGGCGTGCATGGTCGATCGTTTTCCGGTAAGCTTCTTTATACGACAGCTACGATGGAAGTTGATGGACTTATGCTGAATTTGGTGAATACCAAAAGGGCAGATCCAAATTCCATAGCGACTGATTTAGGAGTTAAGAATGAGAAGAAAAAACTCGGCGGAAGGGTGAGTCGAAAATTTAATTTTCAAATTTAACTTTTCGTCATTTTCTAAAGGTTAAAAACACGCTACATAGAAACGTTCATGAATGCCTGTCATCTGCGTCAATTGTGGTACTACATGCATGTGATGTTGTGTTTACCATGGAGGCATAAACAGAAGGACCCTCTGTTTATACCTCCATGTGTTTACTAAGTGTATTGATAAACACTGAAAGGGAAACAGACGCACGAACACATGTTTGTATTTCGTAATGATCACGATCGGTTCAGTAGGACGCCCTCATCTGGTGACCCTCGATCGTTTTAATTAGTCCCCGTTTCGAACAAATTACGATTTATGGGTCCGTCCATGCGTTCTGAGCCATTTCTCAGAAATGTTGTGACCAAGCTTGTTTATATACCTGGTACATATGCACATACATTTTTTTGATAATTTGGCCGACTGGTGGTCATTTTAGACCTAAATTCTAAATTATGATATTTAAACGTGTACAGAAATGTTTTCATTTGTGTCTGTGTTGATTCCTGACTAATACATTGTCTGATTCAGATTAAAGTTTGCACACAAGTACTAGAATCGCAGATATTACTGTAAGATCTGTTATTTCGTGATTCAATCAAATTTGACAAATTTATGTCCATTTTCTTCTGTACTTCCCCGATCATAAGCCCCTCCCGAGTATAAGCCCACCCCTCTATTTTTAGTGATTTAATGAGTTGAGGGCATTCCTGATTATAAGCCCAGGGTGTTTTTACCAACGTCAACGACATTTAGTGAAATATGCATGTAAAAAGGTATATACAACTTTGATTCTTTACAAGGCAGTTCACTGCATACACACTTGCAGCAACAAGATACAAGTTAGTCCAGTGCTTAAACTACATTCAGGACATCATTTCAGAATTAAAATGTCCATGTGGCTTACATTCAACATGTGAACCAAATATTTTCTATAGCCGCAAATAATCCCCATAATTGTGGATCACTACTAGTGATGGACATTGTATTTAATACAGAACTGGGACTGTGAATTTTCAATGCTTATTTCTATGAATATTTTCAGGTTATTAAAGTTGAATATAATAAATTCATGCATAATTTTTCCTTCAAAGGCTAGGTTAAAAGAAAGGCAACTGAAAAGACGAATTGATAAAAGATTGTCACGTACTCGTCAACTTGAGCAAAGCAGTGACCAAGTAGAACAATTCGACATAGAGAAAACCGCAAAAGTGAAACTCAAAAAATCCAAAACACAACTGGAATCTCCTGTGTCGTCCACGAAGCGACCAAAACAGACTATTTCATCATTATTTACACATAATCCAGATGTCCCACAAGTTGAGAGGTAAGAATATGTAAGCTATTTATTTAATATAAATCTTACTGGATGGGCCTTTATCATGTGCAGACTCTTTTACTGGGCCAAAGGGGGGGGGGGAGGGGTTAATTAAAATTCTGGCACAATTTGTACATTTAGGTGTTTAACTTAGCGTTTATAATGTGTAGAAATCCCTGTAATTTTTGCCAGGGGTATTATCTTTGAATAGAAAAGGGTGTGAATTCAAGATTCTCAATGTATGCACATACCGGTAGGTGAATACAACCTTGTTTTTAAGTCCACATTGTATGTGAAAAGTGTTGTGCTTTCACCAGAGTGTGTTGAGGGCAAAGATTAGAACCCAATCCAACCAGGGCACATTTAAATGTATTTTCCCGTACAAAAATCTGTCTGTGTTAACACTGTCCAATCACCATGTTTACAAATCCAAGTTTAATTTTCAAGTGGCGATTTTTAATCGGCCTCTTTCTCTACAATGGCAAATAAATAAATGTTATATTCTGTATGTGTGTTTGGTAAGATATTTTTTGAAAACTTTCTTCACTAGAATATTTTCAACATTTCTTCTCTTCTGACCCATAACTGCAAGTGATATTTACTTTTACTGAAGGATACATCAGTAAATTCTTAATTTACAGAAATACTGCTTTTAGCTAACACAAAGTACAAATTGATTGCAGTTTTCAGAGAAACCAAAATTTGAAATAAATACTCTTTTTGCTGCATTAGTAGTGTATACGCTAAAATAGTCTATGTCTGTAGTCAAAATAAGTTGTTTTAATAATCAAGTATGCAATATATCCCAAAATGGTATCCCCCAAAATCAACTGCTTAGGAGGTTGGTCTCCTAAAATAGTATGTGAATGTATAAACTTAAACAATAATATTGTGGCCCGTGATTTCTTGTTATTTTAAACTTATTCTTTTTATGAAATGTCAATTTCATTTTATCAAATTACAAATTCCATAACTTTAGTGTGATGTTCTCTAAGATCAATGTATAATGTAAGTCAATTGCATGTCACATCAGTTTAGAGGGTACACAGCTTCTAAATACAGGATTAAAATGAAATATTTAATTGAGGATTTTAAAATTCAAATTCTATATTCTCTGCAGACAGACAGTGAAAGTGAAAAGTGAACCGGTATTTTCATATCAGTCATTTAGTGATTTAAACCTTCATGCCTACATGGTAAGTCACTTTTCATTAACTTTTTTTTTGAGTGTATATTTTATTTAAAGTCACAATCATCAAACATGCTTCAGACTTATAGCTAACTTATAGCAGTTCTGGTTCAAGGCTAAACTGCATCTCACCGACTGTAGTTGTCCAATTCTTAGACTGTCAAAGTCAATTCTATGCAGCCGACAGTGTTAAAATCAATCAGTCAGCTGACAGTTCAAATTACACAGGCCAAAATTTCAATTGACTTAAACACAAAAGTTGATACATGTCATTCCCTTTGTCAACAGTCTGCCAACTGGCCGATCAAAATATGCAGGTATTCCTTCCAATGTGTTAATTTTTACACTAATAATGAGTCATTTGAACAGAATTCTGTAAAATACCTCATTTTCGCTATTTTTGCTGAGGTAATGATTCAGTGAAAATAAAATCCAGCGAATATACCCTTTTTTCTATATTTTACATTCAACTCGCCAAAAATCAGTGAAAATAAATTCCATACAAAATACTCAAAAACTTTTTTCAGCTGAAATTAATTCCAGCTTAAGGTAGCGAGAAGGGAAATTTTCACTTTTTTCTTGATTTTTCAAAAATTGATAAAACGGTTACTTTAGACCTTGATACATCACCCCAGGTTTACAAAAGATCGAAATTGCGAAATAACGTTGCTCAAATTAGTGTTTTAAAACACTAGCAGAAAAGACTACAACTGCAGTTTCGTGGATATTTGCATAGTGTTTGTCTTTGGAAGGAATTAAATGATAAAATTTTATCTGTATACTCTGTTGTTGACGATTCTGATATAACGGGTGATAAGCTTCCAGTTGCAAACAATGCGTGTTTATCTAACGTCCATTGTCAGCATTATGTCAGT